ACCGGCGGGCGCCGCGAGGGGGCGGTGTTGTTACATTGGGCCGTGCTGCCGGGTGCCCGCGGATGCGGTAATACTCCCGGCCGGCACTAGGGGGCAGTGTTGCTATAGGGCGTTTCTATAGGGCGATGCGATTACAGGGCTGTGGGGCCATGCGGTTATGGGGCAGAATCTATGGGGTGATGCGGCTATAGGGCATTGCTATGGGGTTCCATGCTATGGGGTGATGCAGTTATGGGGCAAAATCTATGGGGTGATGCGGTTGTAGGGCCGTGCTATGGGGTGATGCGGCTATAGGGCCGTGCTATGGGGTTCCATGCTATGGAGTGCCCACAGATGCAGTAATACTCCCGGCCGCCGCTGGGGGGCAGTATCGCTATAGGGCATTTCCATAGGGCCATGCAATGGGGTGACGCGCTCATGGGGCAGCGCTATGCGGTACCCACAGATGTAGTAATACTCCCGGCCGCCGCTGGGGGGCAGTGTCGCAATAGGGCATTTCCATAGGGCCATGCAATGGGGTGACGCGCTCATGGGGCGGCGCTATGCGGTACCCACAGATGTAGTAATACTCCCGGCCGCCGCTGGGGGGCAGTGTCGCTATAGGGCATTTCCATAGGGCCGCGCTATGGGGTGACGCGCTCATGGGGCGGCGCTATGCGGTACCCACAGATGTAGTAATACTCCCGGCCGCCGCTGGGGGGCAGTGTCGCTATGGGGCATTTCTATAGGTCCATGCAATGGGGTGACGCGCTTATGGGGCGGCGCTATGCGGTACCCACAGATGTAGTAATACTCCCGGCCGGCCCTGAACTCGAAGCCCAGGGAGAAGGCGGAGTAGCGCTGGAACTTCTCGGAGAACTTCACGGGGCCTCGCGGCGCCGCGGGCCGCCGGCACTCCCAGCGCTTGGAGCCGCCGCTGCTGTTGCACGTGCGGTATCCCTCCGCGTCCACCATGTACAGCGCGTACTGCTCCGCGTGTCCCTCCGCCGCCGCTCCGTCCGCCGCCCGCCGCCCCGGCGCCTCGTCGTAGCGCGGGCAGTAAATGTCCAGGTAGTCGTTCACGTTCACCTGCACCGTGTAGCCCTCGCGGCGCAGGCTGCGGGGTCACGTGGGGGAGTGGGGGGGGCGGTCATGTGACGGGTCACGTGCTCGGCCCCGCGCCTGAGCCCTTGTGCCCCACAACCGCCCCACATCTGCCCCGCGTCTGCCCCACTGTGCCCCGCATCTGCCCTACTTTGAGCCCCGCTGCCCCGCGTCTGCCCCACATCTGAGCC